TGTTTAGGGGTGTGGCTGTATGTGTTTAGGGGAGTGGTTGTATGTGTTTAGGGGAGTGGCTGTATGTGTTTAGGGGTGTGGCTGTATGTGTTTAGGGGCGTGGCTGTATGTGTATAGGGGAGTGGCTGTATGTGTTTAGGGGCGTGGCTGTATGTGTATAGGGGAGTGGCTGTATGTGTTTAGGGGAGTGGCTGTATGTGTTAAGGGGAGTGGCTGTATGTGTATAGGGGAGTGGCTGTATGTGTATAGGGGCGTGGCTGTATGTGTTTAGGGGCGTGGCTGTATGTGTTTAGGGGTGTGGCTGTATGTGTATAGGGGAGTGGCTGTATGTGTATAGGGGAGTGGCTGTATGTGTTTAGGGGAGTGGCTGTATGTGTTTAGGGGTGTGGCTGTATGTGTTTAGGGGAGTGGCTGTATGTGTATAGGGGAGTGGCTGTATGTGTTTAGGGGTGTGGCTTATGTGTTTAGGGAGTGGCTGTATGTGTTTAGGGGCCCAGGGTTGGGGAGCAGATGGAATGTCAGGAGATGGACAAGGTGGGTCTCACCCTCCCCTGCTTTGTAAGGTAAACTTTCAAGTTACCGAATTGGACGTGCCCACCGAGCTAAGAGCCGGCTGGTGGTTAGAGCATTTAAGATGATGGGAATTTGGTTTGGACGAGGGGGGAGGCGAGACACCAGTGGGTAAAGTTTTGGTGCAGAGGCACCTGGTTAAGTTCGTTGGCAAGGACGGTTATTTAAGTTGGAGGCTGTAGGGCAATAAGTGTTAATTTATATGTTAATTATGGTATGTATATATATTTATGTGTTTATTTATATTGGAATTAAAGGAAAAGAATAAAGTTCGGATGTGTCCTACAGTTGTAAGTATTAATAAATGCTGTGGCCTGTTTCATCCAATATGCATTGTCTGTCATTATTGGGGGGATAAGTGGGTAGTCTTTCTTTTAGTCGCACCACATTCCCCGCTACGTGCATACAAGCATCAGCATGCACAAGAATTATACATAATAGAGAACGGTGTGGCTTCCAGAAGACGGCACCATTTTTATTATTTTACTTAATTAACATGGATGTAGCTATAGCACATTTTTGATGTAATGAGTAGACAAACAACACCGCTAAACAGGATAAACGAAAAGACGTATCATATGCATTGATGATAGGTTTAGCAGGCTTGAAATTTAGGTAAAGAAACCACTGGGTACTTAATAGTATTAAATGGTGACAAAACACAGTAAGTATTGCTGCAAAGAAATGCGTGGTATAGGCCCCATGGAAACCACTGTAGGAGTCCAACCCATGGCCATCCGACAGTATTCTCCACAGCGGTAATGTGAGTCCCATAGATC